TTTTTTTGAGATGGAGTCTCGCTCTGTCGCCCAGGCTGGGGTACAGTGGCACGATCTTGACTCACTGCAGCCTCTACCTCCTGGTTCAAGTGATTCTCCTGTCTCAGCCTCCCAGGTAGCTGGGATTACAAGGGCATGCCACCAAATTTTTGCTTTTATTTGAGGAGATGGTGTCTGGCTATGTTGCCCAGGTGGGTCTTGGACTCCTGGCCTCAAGCAGTCCTTCCACCTCAGTCTCTCAAAAGTGTTGGGATTACAGTTATGAGCCACTGTGCCTGGCCAAGAATGTTGCATGTGCATTTGAGAAGAATGTAATTCTGCCATGGTTGGGTGGAGTGTTCTGTATATGTCTGTTAGGTCTAGTTGGTTTATTGTGTCATTCAAGTTCCCTCCTTATGTTCTGTCTGATCAGTCTCCTTGTTGAAAGTGGGGTTTGAGGTTTTCAGCTGTTATTGCAGAACTATGTCTTCCTTCAAATCTTTTAATTTTTGCTTTCTACATTTTAGGGTCCTATTATTAGGTGCATAATTTTTATATTGTCTTGCTGTATTAGGCTTTTAAATTAATATATGGACCAGACACACAGTGGCTCATGTCTGTAATGAACTAGCGCTTTGAGAGGCTGAGGTGGGAGGATCACTTGAGCCCAGGAGTATGAGACCAGTCTGGCCAACATAGTGAGATCCTCTGTCTACAAAATAAAAACAAAGAAAAACACAGGCGCGTATGTGTGTGTGTGTGTGTGTGTGTGTGTGTGTGTGTGTGTGTGTATGTATGTATTTCTTTGTCTCTTGTAACCTTTTTGTATTTAAAGTCTGTTTTAGGCCGGGCGCGGTGGCTCAAGCCTGTAATCCCAGCACTTTGGGAGGCCGAGGCAGGTGGATCACGAGGTCAAGAGATCGAGACCATCCTGGTCAACATGGTGAAACCCCGTCTCTGCTAAAAATACAAAAAAATTAGCTGGGCATGGTGGCGCGTGCCTGTAATCCCAGCTACTCAGGAGGCTGAGGCAGGAGAATTGCCTGAACCCAGGAGACGGAGGTTGCGGTGAGCCGAGATCGCGCCATTGCACTCCAGCCTGGGTAACAAGAGCGAAACTCCGTCTCAAAAAAAAAAAAAAAAAAAAGTCTGTTTTGTGTGATGTTAATAGAGTTACCCCAACTTTGATTATTATCTGCATGAAATGTCTTTTTGCATCCTTTCACTTTCAAACCTATTTGTGTCTTTGGATCTAAAGTGAATTTCCTGAAGATAGCGTATAGTCGGATCATGTTGGTGTTCTTTTTTTTTTTTTTCTTTTTTTTTGAGATGGAGTCTCATTCTGTCACTCAGGCTGGACTGCAATGGTACAATTTCAGCTCACTGCAACCTTCGCTTTCCGAGTTCAAGCAATTCTCCTGCCTCAGCCTCCCAACTAGGTGGGATTACAGGCATGGCCTACCACACCTGGCTAATTTTGTATTTTTAGTAGAGATGGGGTTTCTCCATGTTGGTCAGGCTGGTCTGAAACTCCTAGCCTCAGGTAATCTGCCTGCCTTGGCCTCTTAAAATGTTGGGATTACAAGCATGAGCTACTGTGCCCGGCCCAATTTTTTTTTTTTTTAAGAGACAGGGTCTTGCTGTGCTTATGTGTGTTGCTCAGGTTGGAGTACAGTGGTGAGATCATAGCTCACTGCAGCCTCGGACTCCTGGGCTCAAACAATCCTCCTGCTTTGTTGTTCCCAAGTACCTGGAACTACAGGCATGCGCCACCTGGCTTTATAATTTTTTTAATTTTTCATAGAGATGGCATCTTGCAATGTTGCCTAGGCTGGTCTCAAACTCCTGGCCTCAAGCACCTGGCTTTCCAAAGTGCTCGGATTACAGATATTAGCCACTGGCCTGTAGTAGAGATAGCGTCTCACTATGTGGCCCATGGTGGTTTCAAGCTCCTAAGCTTAAGTGATCCTCCCTCCTCGGCCTCCCAAAGTGTTAGGACTATAAGCCTGAGCCACTGTACCTAGCCCCTTCTCATTTTCTTTCTTTTTTTTTCTAGTGCATAAGGAGGCAACCTCATTTTCTTATGTGTGTATTCTAAAGATGTATTCTTTGCAGTTACCATGGGAGTTAACATCTCACAGTTATAAAATAATTTGAATTTATAATAACTTAAGTTCCATACCATGCAAATCACTGCTCTGGTGCAGCTCCTTTGTTGTCCCTTTTCTGTTATGTCATAGGTTACATCTTTGTAAATCGTATCTCATTAGCCTAGATTAATAATTTTTTATCAATTTGTTTTTAGATCACATTGCAAATGAAAAGCAGAGTTACAAAGCAAAATTACAATAATGCTAGTTTTTACAATTGCTCCTGTATTTGCCTTTACCAGAGATTGATTGATTGATTGATTTCTTTCTTTCCTTTTTTTTTGGGGGGGGTGGGGGAGAAGGAGTCTCTGTTGCCAGGCTGGAGTACAGTGGTGTGATCTCAGCTCACTGCAGCCTCCGCCTCCAGGGTTCAAGCGATGCTCCTGCCTCAGGCTTCCAAGTAGCTGGGACTGTAGTTGGTAATGTATAGTGGTATAAGAGCCTCTATCAGCTTTTCTTTATCTGAGAATGTCTTTATTATTTTCCTTAATTTTTGAAGGACAGTTTTCTCAGATACAGAATTCTTGGTTGTCAGTTTATGTTTAGGTCTTTTTTTTTTTTTTTTTTTTTTTTTTGCGATGAAATCTCGCTCTGTTGTCCAGTGTGGAGTGCAGTGGCATGATCTCGGCTCACCCCAACCTTCACCTCCTGGGTTCAAGTGATTCTCCTGCCTCAGCCTCCTAAGTAGCTGGGCCTATAGGTTCCTGCCACCATGCCCAGCTAATTTTTTGTATTTTTAGTATGGCCAGGCTGGTCTTGAGCTCTTGACCTACCTCAAGTGATCCACCCACCTTAGCCTACCAAAGTACAGGGATTACAGGCGTGAGCCACTGTGCCCAGCCTAGGTCTTGTATGATCATACATTTTGCCTTGGCATTTATGGCTTTCTAAATTTCTCCATATACATGTTGCTTTGGAATGTCCTAATTTGCCAAAGAGTTTCACCTCAACTTCTCTGCTTTTTTTTTTTTTTTTTTTTTAAAGAGACAGGGTTTCACCGTTTTGGTCAGGCTGGTCTCAAACTCCTGACCTCACGTGATCCACCTGCCTTGGCCTCCCAAAGTGCTGGGATTACAGGTTTGAGGCACCACGCCTGGTTCTTGGGCATCTATCTGTAATCTCTTGCCCCATGTGTCTGTTAGTCTATAGTCTGCTTCACAGCTTTGATTAGTAATACCTGCTGCTTTTTCTGCCTAAGTTTTGTTTTCGGTTGAAATAGAAACAAATGCCTGTCCTTCAAATACCCCTAGACAGGGTGGAACAGTTACCTATGATAATTTGCAAGTAAGGTCTGCTTTGCTCTTTGAGGGAGGGAGCTGGGAATTGGGGTTGTACTGCTTTAAGACCAAAACCACTGCCATGCTGGAGAAGGGGTGGGGCAAGGGTGAGTAAAAACACCACAGAACTTTGCTAGTGTTTTGAAGGTTGCTTTTTCTTTTTTATTTATTTATTTATTTATTTTTGAGACGGAGTTTTGCTCTTGTTACCCAGGCTGGAGTGCAATGGCGCGATCTCGGCTCACTGCAACCTCCGCCTCCTGGGTTCAAGCAATTCTCTTGCCTCAGCCTCCTGAGTAGCTGGGATTACAGGCACGCACCACCATGCCCAGCTGATTTTTTGTATTTTTAGTAGAGACAGGGTTTCACCATGTTGACCAGGATGGTCTCGATCTCTTGACCTCGTGATCCACCCGCCTCGGCCTCCCAAAGTGCTGGGATTATAGGCGTGAGCCGCCGCACCCGGCCAGAAGGTTGCTTTTTCTTGATTGGATATTTGCTTGTAGACCTTGGCTGTTTTCTGATGTTTCTATGAAGGAATGAGATCTTGAAACTTCTGGTCTGCTGTTTTGATGACCTATGGGCTGTCTTTTTACTCTCTTGATAGTGTCCTTTGATACACAAGTTTTAAATTTTGATGAAGTTCACTTTACATTTTCTTTTACAGTTCCTTGTGCTTTAGGGGTCATATTTAAGAAATCATTGCCAAATCCAAGGTGATGAAGATTTGCCTCTTTTTCAGTAGCTATAACAAAAGTCCAGGAGATAACTTTTCATCTTGACTTGAGTTACATGTCTGTCTTCAAAGCAATGACTGTAGTGAGAGTAATAGATTATTCTGATTGGTCATGCTGGATGGTGTTGGAATAGTCCGAGACAGTGGGGTTGATACTACAATGCTGTTTCCAAAACGAAAGGGCTAGTGAGCACTAGAAAAATCAGTAAATACTTATTTTATTTAGTAAATGTGAAGCATTCATAGCATATTAAAAAGTTTATGGTGCCCAGGGTACACTTTTTTTCTTTTTTTTTTTTTTTAAGACATTCTCACTCTTTCCTGAGCTGGAATGCAGTGGTGCAGTCTTGGCTTACTGCAGCCTCATCCTCCCGAGCTCAAGTGATCCACCTTAGCCTTCCAATAAAGAAGTTGGGACTACAGGCATATGTCACCATGCCTGGCTAAGTTTTGTATTTTTTCGTTTTTTGAGATGGATTCTTGCTCTGTTGCCCTGGCTGGTGTGCAGTGGCATGATTTTGGCTCACTGCAGCCTCTGCCGCCTGGGTTCAAGCAATTCTGCCTGAGCCTCCTGAGCTGGGATTACAGGCACCTGGCACCATGCCTGGCTAATTTTTGTATTTTTAGTAGAGATGAGGTTTCGCCATGTTGCCCAGGCTGGTCTCAAACTCCTTGGCTCAAGTGATGTGCCTGCCTTGGCCTCCCAAAGTATTGAGGTTACAGGTGTGAGCCGTCGCGCCCCACCCCATAGTATACATGCTGATGTGTGGTGGTCCCTGATAAACTAAGAAGTGGGAAACTAGTTTAACTTTTAGTTCATGTTCTAAAGTACTAATTTTTGTGGTTTATTTTATACAGGCACTGCTATTACCAGAATTTGGTAGAAAAAGGATCTACTTGTTGGCGGCCTGTTGATAAAAAGAGATGTGGGGGGATTCTCGACCTGCTAACAGAACTGGACCTTTTCGGTAAGCTCTGAAATTTGAATATTGAAATTGCCAGTGTTTTAATTATAAATATGTAACATTTTGGCCTACTATAAAGGAAGATAATTTCTCTGTTGAGAAATAGTTTCTGATTTTTTTAAAAATAGAAACTCAGTTTGGAAAATAATTTCAAAAATGATTGTGAGACTGAATACCCAGCATGCCTAATGTCTTGTCATATAACCTTTTTGTTTTTGAGATGGAGTCTTGCTTTGTCACCCAGGCTGGAATGCAGTGGTGTGATCTCGGCTCACTGCACCTTCTGCCTCCTGGGTTCAAGCAGTTCTCTGCCTCAGCCTCCCAAGTAGCTAGAATTAGAGGTGCCTACCACCACGCCTGGCTAATTTTTGTAATTTTGGTAGAGACTGGGTTTCACTGTCTTGGCCAGGCTTTTCTTCAACTCCTGACCTCCTGATCCACCCACCTTGGCTTCCCAACATTTTGAAATTTATTTATTTATTTTTTGAGACAGAGCCTCTCTCTGTCTTCCAGGCTGGAGTGCAGTGGTACAGTCTTGACTCACTGCAACCTCCGTCTCCTGGATTCGAGTGATTCTCCTGCCTCAGCCTCCCAAGTAGCTGGTAGTACAGGTGTGTGCCACCATGCCCAGCTAATTTCATTTTTTTAAATATTAAGAAATCCCCAAATATTTATTTTTGTTTCTTTTCTTTTTCTTTTTTTGGGATGGAGTCTTGCTCTGTCGCCAGGCTGGAGTGCAGTGGCGCAGTCTCGCTCACTGCAACCTCCTCCTCCTGGGTTGAAGTGATTCTTCCGCTTCAGCCTCCCGAGTAGCTGGGACCACAGGCGCACGCCACCACACCCAGCTAATTTTTGTATTTTTAGTAGAGACAGAGTTTCACCATGTTGGCCAGGATGGTCTTGATCTCTTAACCTCGTGATCCGCCCACCTCGGCCTCCCAAAGTGCTGGGATTACAGGCGTGAGCCACTGCGCCCAGCCTTATTTTTGTTTCTTAGCAAAGGAATACATATTTGGCTAGTAAGGAAAGCTAGTGAAATGTCCATAAATGTTTATAAAAGTTGCATTGAGTGCACTCTTTATGTCTAGAATTCAGAGCTATGCCTTGCCTGTGGCATGTTGATGCAGTTTGCTAAACCATCTCTCAATTTTAGGGGTTATTGGGTACCAAGAAGTGTGGAGATGGTGGTAGCATTGGTAGCATTTAGTAGTAAATGGATTCTATTTTAAATTTGTAGGGAGTTAATTTTTTTTATAGCTAATGTAATACACTTTGTATTTTAACTCGTATTTAAACATTTTTTGCATTGTGTTTACAATTAATGAAATGTTATACAAATGTGACTTTTTTGGTTTTACTTGGTACATAGCAAAGAAATCTAACCTTTAAATGTATGCATTCAAAGGTATTGATGCTCCAGTTGAAACTTCTATTACTAGTACATTTTCTTTTTTTTTTTTTTTTTTTTTTTTTCTTTTTTTGAAATGGAGCCTCACTCTGTCACCTAGCCTGGAGTGCAGGGGTGTGATCTCAGCTCACTGTAGCCTCCACCTCATGGGTTCAAGTGATTCTCCTGCCTTAGCCTCCCGAGTAGCTGGGACTACAGGTGCATGCCAACACATCTGGCTAATTTTTGTATTTTTAGTAGAGACAGGGTTTCACCATGTTGGCCAGACTGGTCTTGAACTCCTGACCTTGTGATCTGCCCTCCTCAGCCTCCCAAATTGCTGGGATTACAGGCATGAGCCACCATGCCTGGCCAGCATCCTTATTTTCTCTTCAGTGGTCTTTAAATTAAAACAACTATGTGATGTTGGGTATTCTTTTCTTTCAAAACACTAAGGATTAGATCAGTGCCAATAACCTATTTTTGTAAATAAAGTTTTATTAGAAAACAGCCACGCTCATATATTTGCAGATTGTGTATGGTTGCTTTCATGCTGTGCTGGCAGAGGTGAATAGCTATGATGGAGATTGTATAACCCACAAAATTCAATATATTTATGAACTGGCTCTTCATGGAGAAAGTTTGCTGACCTCTAGTCTAGATTAATGGGCTTGTACATTAACATTTAAAAATATTTAAATTGTAATCTATCCTCTTGTTACTCCTATTTATAGATAACTATTTTGTAAGTAAGGCTATTTCTTATAGAATTAACATGGTTTAGGTAAGCATTCAGAAATGTTAAGTAAATTTAGCTCTATTGTATAACTTTTTTCCAAATTTAGAACATTTGTCTTTGACTTGTTTAAACTTACTTAAAATTATATCTTCCCACATTAATTTTAAATGTAAGTCATTATATGTTGTTTTTTAAGGTCTTTGATCAGAAGGGAGTCATAGTTTATATAGCATTCCTTTTTTGGGAACTAGTTTGAACCAAAAAAGATACAGGAAAATGATTTTATTACATTTTCTTTGAACTTTCCTTTTTAAATTTGTTTTTATTTGGTTGAAAATGATTTTCATAATTACTGTTATTTTATATTAGTAGAACTGTTTCTTGGTTAGTCCGTATAAAATACAGATAAGAACCCTGCTACAGTAAGTTATTCTAAATCTATTTGATCTTAACTTAGAAGGGTAAGATAATCCTTAGGGCCATGTTAGATGTGTTCTGGTCAGAAAACATGTAGGTTTCATACATCAGTCCTCATCCTACGAGTGTGTGATGAAGCTTGAATTTTCCTGCAAGCTATTAAGACTTGAATTATTTTAAATATGGAAGACACTGTATTTAGTGGTAACATCCTAATTTTAGTGTTAAATTTTATTGGTTAAGAACATCTAAACCTCCTGCTCTTATGATGAACCACATAGACATAACTAATGTTAATGGGGGTCAGTGGAAGTTATCATGTTCTGAAAATCCAGTAAATGTACATCATTATAGTGTTTAGGTTAACGTTAAATTCCTATTACTTTAAGAAAGGGTTGGCTGGTCATGGTGGCCCACACCTGTAATCCTAGCACTTTGGGAGGCGGAGTTGGGTGGATCACCTGAGGTCAGGAGTTTAAGACCTGCATGGGCAACATGGTGAAACTCATCTCTACTACAAATACAAAAATTAGCTGGGCATGGTGGTGCGTGCCTGTAATCCCACCTACTTGGGAGGCTGAGGCACGAGAATCAGTTGAACCCAGGAGGCGGAGGTTGCAGTGAACCGAGATTGCGCCATTGCATGCCAGCCTGGGCAACAGAGCGAGACTTTGTCTCAAAAAATAAAAAAAGAACGGGTTTGGCATTGCAACTATTTCTCTTGAACTGAGTGACCCAGAATCAGTTGTTCTTTGAATTTTACTAAAGTAGTGCAGTCTGAGCTCAGAAGAGTCTTATGGTAGACCCTGTATGTTCTGGGAGGCAAGAATTGAGTTGGTATTGATATCTTAATGCTTTTGTTTTACTGCTAAATAGCAGATGACCCTTCAGGTCTTTTCATGTCTCCCTACCTAGGATCCCAGGTGCCTAATTGCCTGTTTAAACTAGTTTAGGGAATCTTGGACTGAAGCCAAAACATGTAAAATGCCCTGGAGGTTAGGCAAAGGGAAGAAGTAGAATAGTATGAAAGATTAGGTTATATCTTGTTTATCTCTTGAGTTCTGTAAATTGAGAATGTAAATTTAATAATGTGTCTATTTTTAAAATGGATTTTATTGCCATGAAAATGTAGCATGAGGCATTGGAATATGGAATATCAGTTTCTTCATTTGGGTCATGGGGATCATGCTTGAAGGCCTAACACTCTCTCTCTAGGTCCCTCTCAGCATTAAGCCCATGGATGCTGTTGGTGGCTTAGATGACTTACACATGCTTGGTAGCATGATTCATGCTACCTTCTATGATACCCTTGAGTTGTTATATTAGGACCCAGGTTAGAGTGCTTCTTGGTGGAGCCACTGTAGAACTGGGATTTAGATGCAACCAGGACTGATGCTCAGCTGATGAACACTGGTGTGCTTGTTCCTACTGGTGATTTACAACCAGTGTTTCTTCCTTTTGGGCCTGCATCCATTTTGATTGGGTAGTGTCCATGCTATATCTGTAAGAAAATATTTTGGAATGTTACCCCTGGATGCAGCAGTGAGAAAGATATCTACTGAAACTTACTGTAAGAAATTTACAGTGAATTGATTTTTCTGATACATAGGAATCGTCATGTTGACCTTGGAATTCTTAAGTTCCCTGGCTGTAGGAAATGGAAATTTTTGTAGTATGTCACCATTGTTAGCTTATTTGGTATTGCGGATTTTCCCTGTTGCAGGACTGGGTGAAAGCTTTTTCTGCAGCAGTCATGTTGAAAACCTTGTGTTGACTTTCCTCGTGTTCTGAAATGGGAGCATAAAAGTTTACTCCGCCACTTCGTCTTAAAATAGCAAACCTTTGCTGTTTTCTGCAGATCTAGGACCTTGTTACAGAACTCTGCCAAAAAAAAAAAAATGTTTACAGAAGAATGTGCTGTGATTAGAGAAGAATATGCTGGTGTGTAGATTTCAAACTCTCTGGACAATATAAATAACACTGTCTTTGTTTCTACAGTGGGAGCCAAGAAGAAAGGTTTGCTCCCGGGTGGAACAGGGATTATCCTCCTCTTCCCCTTAAGAGTCATGCTCAAGAGAGACACTCTGGCAACTTTCCTGGCAGAGATTCACTTCCCTTTGATTTCCAGGGGCATTCGGGGCCTCCTTTTTCAAATGTAGAGGAGCATTCTTTCAGCTATGGAGCTAGAGATGGACCGCATGGTGACTATCGAGGAGGGGAGGGACCTGGACATGATTTCAGGGGGGGTGATTTTTCATCTTCTGATTTCCAGAGCAGAGATTCATCACAGTTGGACTTCAGGGGTAGGGACATACATTCTGGGGATTTTCGGGATAGAGAAGGACCACCTATGGACTATAGGGGTGGAGATAGTACTTCTATGGATTATAGAGGTAGGGAGGCACCTCATATGAACTACAGAGACAGGGATGCTCACGCTGTTGACTTCAGAGGTAGGGATGCTCCTCCATCTGACTTCAGGGGCCGGGGCACTTATGATTTAGATTTTAGAGGCCGGGATGGATCCCATGCAGATTTTAGGGGAAGGGATTTATCAGATTTGGATTTCAGGGCCAGAGAACAGTCCCGTTCTGATTTTAGGAATAGAGATGTATCTGATTTGGACTTTAGGGACAAAGATGGAACACAAGTAGACTTTAGAGGCCGAGGTTCAGGTACTGCTGATCTAGACTTTAGGGACAGGGATACACCACATTCAGATTTCAGAGGTAGACACCAGTCTAGGACTGATCAGGATTTTAGGGGCAGAGAGATGGGACCTTGTATGGAATTTAAAGATAGGGAGATGCCCCCTGTGGATCCAAATATTTTGGATTACATTCAGCCCTCTACACAAGATAGAGAACATTCTGGTATGAATGTGAACAGGAGAGAAGAATCCACACATGACCATACGATAGAAAGGCCTGCTTTTGGCATTCAGAAGGGAGAATTTGAGCATTCAGAAACAAGAGAAGCAGAAACACAAGGTGTAGCCTTTGAACATGAGTCTCCAGCTGACTTTCAGAACAGCCAAAGTCCAGTTCAAGACCAAGATAAGTCACAGCTTTCTGGAGGTGAACAGCAGAGTTCAGATGCTGGTCTGTTTAAAGAAGAAGGCGGTCTGGACTTTCTTGGGCGGCAAGACACTGACTACAGAAGCATGGAGTACCGTGATGTGGATCATAGGCTGCCAGGAAGCCAGATGTTTGGCTATGGCCAGAGCAAGTCTTTTCCAGAGAGCAAAACTGCCCGAGATGCCCAACGGGACCTTCAGGTATGTTGATGGGGTGGATTGCTTTTTTTTTTTTTTCCTTTTAAGTAAGACTTTTGTGAAGGATGAAGCTTATTTATTTTTTTAATCATTTTATTTTTATCCTTGCATAACCATTAGAAAGAAAAATTTATATTCAGGGGTAGAATGTAGGAATGTAAATTTCTAGAGAAAAGGCCCTGAGCTCAGATTATATATATATTTTTTCTTTTATTCTTTTCCACCTGCTTCATTTTCCCTTCTCATATGTGTGTGTGTGTATATATATATATATATGTATATATGTATGTATATATGAAGGAAATATATATATGTATATATTTGAGACAGGGTCTCGCTCTGTCACCTAGGCTGAAGTATAATAGTGTAATCATGGCTCCTTGAAGCCTTGACCTCCCAGGCTCAAGCTATCTTCCCACCTCAGCTTCCTGAGTAGCCGGAACTATAGGTATGCACCAGCCACCATACCTGGCTAGGTTTCATTTATTTATTTTTTTCCTTTGAGAGCAAGTCTTGCTCTGTTGCTCAGGCTGGAGTGCAGTGGTGTTATCTCGGCTCACTGCAACCCTCTTAACTCCGGATTCAAGGGATTCCCCCGCCTCAGCCTTCCAGGAAGCTGGGACTACAGGTATATATCACCATGCCTACTTAGTTTAGTTTTTATTTTTCTTTTTTGTGATAGAGTCTCACCCTGTTGCCCAGGCTGAAGTGCAGTGGCATGATCTTGGCTCACGACAACCTCCATCTCCCATGTTCAAGCAATCTTCCTGCCTCAGCTTCCTGAGTAGCTGGAACTGTAGTTATGTGGCACCACACTAATTTTTGTATTTTTTTTTTTTTTTTTTTTGTAGAGATGAGGTTTAGCTATGTTGCCTAAGCTGGGCTGGAACTCCTGATCTCAAACGATCCACCCTTCTCAGCCTCCCAAAGAGCTGGGATTACAGGTGTGCACTACCACGCCTGGCCAGCAGTTTTGGTATTTTTTTGTAGATACAGGGTTGCAACATGTTGCCCAGGCTGGTTTTGAATTCCTGGATTCAAGCAGTCCCCCCACCTCAGCCTCCCAAAGTGCTGGGATTACAGGAGTGAGCCATTGCCCTTAGCTTCAGATCATATTTTTGATGTGCGTTTTTAAATTATTTTTTTTTATGGTGCTGATTTACATGCCTTGGGACAATTTAGTTTGAAAGTATATGTCTTTGGGAGTTGACTCTTGCAACTCTCGCTTAGTTAGGCCTGTGGTTGTTTAGGGATCATTTTCTTACTTAAATTCATTGAGAGAATACTTAGGAGTCTCCCTAGTCGTGAGGAGGTGATTTAGTGTTGCATCTATCCTCTTGCAGCTAACATAATTAAATGTTAAACTTCTTGAATATATGATTTAAGCAAGGAGGGTTATATTTGTAATTTTGCAATGAAGACATTACCTTTTAAAGTCGATTTGGCCAGGTGCAGTGGCCCATGCTTGTAATTTCAGCACTTTAGGAGGCTGAGGTGGGAGGATCACTTGAGGCCAGGAGTTAGAGACCTTTGTGGTACAACCTCAGGAGAGAGTGTGGCGGGAAAAAGAAAAATAAGGCCAGGCATAGTGGCCCATGCCTGTAATCCCAACACTTTGGGAGACCAAAGTGGGCGGATCATTTGAGGTCAGGAGTTCAAGACCAGCCTGGCCAACATGGTGAAATCCATCTCTACTAAAAATACAAAAAAAATTAGTCTGGGCACAGTGGCTCACACCTATAATCCAGCACTTTGGGAGGCTGAGGCAGGCGGATCACCTGAGGTTGTGAGTTCGAGACTAGCCTGACCAACATGGAGAAACCCCCTCTCTACTGAAAATACAAAATTAGCCAGGTGTGGTGGCAGGCGCCTGTAATCCCAGCTACTCGGGAGGTTGAGGCAGGAGAATCACTTGAACCCGGGAGGCGGGGGTTGTGGTGAGCTGAGATCGCATCATTGCACTCCATCCTGGGCAACAAGAGCAAAACTTCATCTCAAAAAAAAAAAAAAATATATATATATATATATAAATTAGCCAGGTGTGGTGGCAGGTGCCTATAATCCCAACTACTTGGGAGGCTGAGGCAGGAGAATTGATTGAACCCAGGAGGCAGGGGCAGTTGTGGGCTGAGATTGTGCCACTGCACTCCAGCCTGGGTGACAGAGACTCTGTATCAAAAAAAATAAATTAATTAATTAAAAGCAAGTCTGTTAACGCATGTTTTTGGGAAAATTTCTTGGGAGGTTTGACTTAATACTTTAGAGTTTACATATGTACGTATTAACTCATACTTTGAAGTTGAACAAATATTAATTGTACTTACACCAATATTATTTGACTGATTGGCATATAACTTATATCACTGCCAGAAGCTTCTGTAGTGTGGAGTACAATATAAGACACCTCACTAAAACTTTCCTCAGACGTACAAAGGCAGGAAGTTGTTTTGTTTGTTTCACAAACCCGGTTGATAAATCATTAGGGAAAACCTAATGAAGCTTTTGCTACATGAAGATTTTCCTATCCTGTCACCATCATTCGGGGACATTTAAAAAATTAACATTATGTAGTTATCTTCTCTCACCAGAGCTATGAAGTGCTGCTAGCCCACACCCCATTCTCAGACCAGGGAAGTTTTGGTTTTTTTCTTTGGAGACTGGGGTTCTTGCTCAGTCTCCCAGGCTGGAGTGCAGTGGCACAATTTTGGCTCCCTGAAACTCCTGCCTCCCAGGTTCAAGTGGTTTTTCCTCCAGTTTCCAGAGTAGCTGGGACCACAGGCACGCGGAGCATGACCAGCTAATTTTTGCGTTTCTACCAGAGACAGGGTTTCACCATGTTGGCCAGACTGAGAAAATTACAGTTTAGAGACTATGTTAGTGTGGCTTTCTGGTTATTTAAGTCTTATTCAGTGTTGTCTCTGGTCATGTTTTGCTTTCCTTTCAAGATTCTTTCAGTGAGCCTTGGTCTTAGCATACTTATATTCTAATGATTTTAAGTCACATTCTGGCACTCAAAACAATAGAGAAAATTGTAATTTTTCATATCTTCACATGATATGTCATTATCATTTTTGATCCTGAATAGTTAAACTTCATGTCGATTTGTGTTTTGAACAGTAAAGTATATTTACTTGTGAAATAATTTTTCATTCTGAATTTAAGGATCAAGATTATAGGACCGGCCCAAGTGAGGAAAAACCCAGCAGGCTTATTCGATTAAGCAGGGTGCCTGAAAATGCCACAAAAGAAGAGGTAAGGCACATGTTCTCTCCTGTTTCTCTGTGTCAGTTAAAAATTAAAAAACCTTTTAGTTTGAAAAATTGTAGGTTCACAAGAAGGTGCAAAGAAATGTGCTGAGAAGCTTGTGTATTTTTCTCCCGTCCTCCCTCAGTGTTAATATTTTGCATAACTATGGTATAGTATCTAAACCAGGAAATTGACTCTGTTATATTTCGTAAAGTTTATTCAGATTTTGCCATTTATGCATGTACTCACTGAGGTGAGGTTAAAAAATATTTTGACAAATGACTGCTCTCTTTAGACATGATCACATCCTTTAGAACATATTATTTCTGGAATGCATACATAAAGATGCAGTTTATTTACAATAGTAAAAACTAGAAACTGCCTAACTCCCCAATATCAAAGGATTGGCTGACTAAATTAGGGCTGAACTTATGACAGTTATACTCTGTGCCAGGCATTGTGTGATACTTATAAGCATTAGTTTATTTAATTATCACATATATAATCTATTCACTCTAAATATTAAGCATTACTGTATGCCAGGCATTGTTCTAGATACTGGGTGATATAGCAGTGTATATTATAAAGTTACTGCCTCTATGGATAATGAAAAAGCAAGCAAAAAACAGATTACATGATTTTAGTCAGTAAATAAATGCTCTGAAGAAAACTAAAGTATAGGCTGGGCGTGGTGGCCTACACCTATAATCTTAGCACTTTGGGAGACCAAAGCAGGCGGATCACTTGAGGTCAGGAGTTTGAGACCAGCCTAGCCAACACAGTAAAACCCCGTCTCTACTAAAAATAGAAAAAAAATAAGCTGGATGTGGTGGTATGTGCCTGTAATCCCAGCTACTCAGGATGCTGAGGCAGGAGAATTGCTTGAACCCAGGAGGCGGAGGTTGTAGTGAGCCAAGATTGTACCAGTACACTCTAATCTGGGCAACAGAGCAAGACCTGGTCTCAAAAAAGAAAACTAAAGCTAAAGTACAGGCTTAGAGTGTCACTGGAATTGGGGCTGTTTTATTTTTATCATCTTTATTTGTTTGTTTGAGATGGAATCTTGCCCTGTCACCTTGGCTGGAGTCTAGTGGCACGATCTCGGCTCACTACAACCTCTGCCTCCTAAGTTCAAGCAATTATTCTGCCTCAGCCTCCCAAGGTAGCTGGGACTATAGGCACATGCCACCACACCTGGCTAATTTTTGTATTTTAGATAAAAACAGAGTTTTACCATATTGGTCAGGCTGGTCTCAAACTCCTGACCTCAGGTGATCCACCTCCCAAAGTGCTGTGATTATAGACATGAGCCACTGCCCCCAGCCCATTTTTTAATTTTGTTGAGGCAGAGTCTCACTTTGTTGCCCAGGCTGGAGTGCAGTGGTACGGTCATGGCTCACTGCAGCTTCTACCTCGTGGGCTCAGTCAGTCCTCCCACCTCAGCCTCGGGAGTAGCTGGGACTACAGGCGTGCATGCTTATGGGGCTAATTTTTATATTGTATAGTTAGGGAGACATTACTGAGGAAGAGGCATTTGAGCCCAGGCCTGAATGCAGTGAGAGCACAGTTCATTAGAATATGGGGAAACAAACTGCCCATGCTGAGGAAGTGCTATGGCCCTGAACCCAATAAATCATTTTATGTTTAACACATGAGAAACTGGTCACTAAAAGGTTACACAGCAGGTACGCAGGAGAGCTTGGAATGTACACAGTATGAGTACAGAGAGCTTGAGCCCTTGAAGGTTATGTTCTTCTGCTTTTCTTATATACCTGAGAAGGTTATGTTCTTTTGCTTTTTTTATATACCTGAGGAAAAAAAAAAAAGAGACGGGGTACTCCGGACTGGAGTGCAGTGGCCCAATCAAGGCTCACTACAGCCTCAAACTCCTGGGCCCAAACTCTCCTCCTAAGTAGCTGGGACTATAGGTGTCAGCCACCACTCTTGGTCAAAAAAAAAATTTTTTTTTTGAGGCTGAGTCTCACTCTGTCACCCAGACTTGGAGTGCAGTGGTATGATCTCAGCTCACTGCAACCTCCACCTTCTGGGTTCAAGCAATTCTGCCTCAGCCTCCTGAGTAGTTGGGACTACAGGCATGCACCACCACGCCCGGCTAATTTTGTATTTTTAGTAGAGATGGGATTTCACCAAATTAGCCCAGGATAGTCTTGATCTCCTGACCTCGTGATCCGCCCACCTCAGCCTCCCAAAGTCTGGGATTACAGGCGTGAGCCACTGTGCCCGGCCTTTTTTAAAAAATTTTTTTAAGGCAGTGTCTCGCTCTGTTGCCCAGGCTGGAGTATAGTGGCATGATCTCAGCTCACTGCAGCCTCAGCCTTCTGCTTTCAAGTGATTCTCCTGCCTCAGCTTTCCAAGTAGCTGGGATTACAGGTGTGTGCCACTACACCCAGCTAATTTTTTTTTTTTTTGATATGGAGTTTCCCTCTTGTTGCCAAGGCTGGAGTGCAATGGCATGATCTCGGCTCACCATAACCTCTGGCTCCCAGGTTCAAGTGATTCTTCTGCCTCAGCCTCCCGAGTAGCTGAGATTACTGTCATGCGCCACCATGCCCAGCTAATTTTGTATTTTTAGTAGAGACAGAGTTTCTCCATCTTGGTTAGGCAGGTCTCAAACTCTCGACCTCAGGTGATCCACCTGCCTTGGCCTCCCAAAGTGCTGAGATTATAGGCGTGAGCCACTGTACCCATCCTAATTTTTGTATTTTTAGTAGAAACGGGGTTTCTCCATGTTAGTCAGGCTGGTCTCAAACTCCTGAGCTCAGGTGACCCTCTTGCCTTGGCTTCCCAAAGTGCCGGGATTACAGGTGTGAGCCACTGTGCCTGGTCTCCGGGTAATTATTATTATTATTATTTTTGGAGATGGAGTCTCGCTCTGTTACCTAGACTGGAGTTCAGTGGCACGATCTTGCTCACTGAAGCCTTTGCCTCCCAGGTTCAAGCAGTTCTCCCACCTCAGCTTCACAAGTAGCTGGGATTACAGGTGCACCACCACGCCTGGCTAATTTTTATAGTTTTAGTAGAGATGGGGTTTCACCATGTTGGCCAGGCTGGTCCTGAACTCCTGACCTCAGGTGATCCACCCTCCTTGGCCTCTCAAAGTGTTGAGAGTATAGGTGTGAGCTGCTACTCCTGACCTCAGGTGATCCACCCTCCTTGGCCTCTCAAAGTGTTGAGAGTACAGGTGTGAGCTGCTGCATCTGGCCTCTCCCGGATACTTAAGAAAAAAAAATTTTTTTTAAGAGGTAGTGTCTCACTATGTTGCCCAGGCTTATCTTAAACGTGGCTTTAAGCAATCCTCCCACCTTGGCCTTCTAAAGTGCTGGAATTATAAGTATGAGCCACTGCATTCTGCCAATTTTTAAATAATTATGTTTCACTCATTCTTTTTTTTTTTTCCTTTTTTAGAGATGGAGTTTTGCTCTTGTTGCCCAGGCTGGAGTGCACAATGGTGTGATCTCGGCTCACCACAACCTCCGCCTCCTGGGTTCAAGTGATTCTCCTGCCTCAGCCTTCCGAGTAGCTGGGATTACAGGCATGCGCCACCACGCCCGGCTAATTTTGTATTTTAGTAGAGACAGGGTTTCTCCATGTTGGTCAGGCTGGTCTCAAACTCCTGACCTCAGGTGATCTGCCTGCCTTGGCCTCCCAAAGTGCTGGGATTACAGGCATGAGCCACTGCGCCCGGCCTCATTCAACATTTTTTGAATGCCTTGAGTGTTTATATATAGTTAACTTTGCTTTTACACAATAATCATGGCTTTAAATAATGTATGATAAAAACCTTTAGGGAAAAATGTAATATTCAGTGTTTGATTATGATTTGTATCATTAGTGTAGATGCCATATTTTTGCAGATTCTTAATGCTTTTCGGACTCCTGATGGTATGCCTGTAAAGAACTTGCAGCTGAAGGAGTATAACACAGGTGAGTTTCCTGACTTGCATATGGTCTTGGGTTAGGAAGGGTCTTTGTTAGATCTCTGCATCATGTGCTACTTAAAATTTGTTTTAAGAAACCACAATTAAAATTTCCAGAAGCCTTCTGTTGGTGCCTTCAAATAACAAGCAGCTTTAGTCTTAGCTGTGGTTCTTTGTGGATATTTGTCCACACATGGGCGATGAGGATGCATGTTCCAGTTCTTCTGAATGCCTGTGATATATAAAGTGAGTGTTGCAGCAATTGCCCTGAATATATTTTATGTAATTATTAAACTTGCTATTTATGTTCTTCATGGTGGTGGAATGTTTATGTTTGAGGCTAATAGGATTTAATAAGCTTGCTGTATGTAAAATTTTACATTCATAGCTTCAGAGTAAAACTTAGACTTCCAGAGAAATTGTACAAATTAGTGGTTTCTTTAATTTTCAGTTTTGCTTTGAGAATGGAGTCCTGTAACAGCTATTTTGTTGAAACCCATGAATAGATGCAGAAGAGCTTTCTCTTTGACATCTGTTCTGTGGTCTGAACTGTAGATCAAACTTTTCAGAATATGCTCCTAGTCATATTTCACAGTACCAATTTCAGTCATTTCCTTTAAATCTTACTATAGTAAAAGTCGGGAAAGGTGAAATGCCAACAACTCAAGGTTTTGGCCAATATTTTTAGAACTGTGTGTAATAATAAGTGGTTTAAAAATAAGGGTAATCTTTAGGTGACCTATTTTGCAGAATTTTAAATGGAAGAGATTAGAGCATGAGTCTTCACAGAATTTAGAATTTCAGTTAAAGAGATCTTCAAGTAAGAACATGTCATATTTTTGAGGGTATAATTTTAGCAGTTTACCATGGAATAAAAATTTTGCATTCACTAGATAGCTTCTTCATATTGCTTCTGCAGAGGAAAATTTTTTTTTTTTTTTTTTTGAGACGGAGTTTCGCTCTTGTTACCCAGGCTGGAGTGCAATGGCACGATCTCGGCTCACCGCAACCTCCGTCTCCTGGGTTCAGGCAATTCTCCTGCCTCAGCCTCCTGAGTAGCTAGGATTACAGGCACGCGCCACCATGCCCAGCTAATGTTTTGTATTTTTAGTAGAGACGGGGTTTCACCATGTTGACCAGGATGGTCTCGATCTCTTGACCTCGTGATCCACCCGCCTCGGCCTCCCAAAGTGCTGGGATTACAGGCTTGAGCCACCGCGCCCTGCAGAGGAAAATTATCCACAAAGTAAATTTTGTGCTTAAAGAATATGGTATTAAGTCCAGAAATAATTTGTTCTGTAATTTGAGAGCAAACTCAGAGGTATTATTTCTCAGAGAGCTAATTATTTCTTTTGTTTTAAAAACATCAATCTTGAATTTGTGGAAACCTAACTAAGAGTAGATATATTGTTCTTCTTGTATATCTCACTTTTGTTGGTTATATTTATTTTTTGCATATGCCCCATAAATGCTTTCTTTGGGAACTCAAGGTAGAATTTACAGGCTAGAGATGCTTTTTAACTCTCAGGATAATAATGTCAGCTGTCTTGTTTCATGAACTGTGCTTTCATTAAGTATTGATATGTTTAGTAAAGGAGATGTCTTAATATTTAAAAAGCAGCAGTTCAAACTCCAGTTTCTTCAGTATTCTTTGACTTTCTAATTGTCAAATTTGTCAGCACAGTAAAAATTATATTAACATATAGGGTTTAAAGAGGAAGTTCTTAAATGTGCTGATTGTGGTAGCTATTAGAATTGGCAGACTGAAGATACTGATACACCTGGGAAATCATTCAGGACTTAAAAATAAAACTAAAAACACCTTTCGGCAAATACAGTCTTTTCTTGGCTTTCTATTAAGGGGTGTGTGTGTGTGTGTGTGTGTTTAGTGAAAGGATTGGATTACCTGTTATTACATCTCTATGTGACAAGTAGGATGAACTTTTGAAAATATCAGTCAGATCATGTTACTCCCATGTCTAAAACCCTCTTAGTGCCTTCATCTTCACTTGGAAGAAATTCTCAACTTCTTGTTTCATCCTACAAACCCATGCATGAGCTGATCCTTGGCTGTTTGATCTCATTCGGTACTGCTCTCCACCTACTCTATTTTACTGTAACCACACGGAGCTTTTCTCTTGTCTTTGACCAATACAGACTTCTTTCTGTGTCAGAGTCTTTGCACTGCTCTTCCCTCTGATCTTTACTTGTCTTCTACGGTTTAGTTCTTGACTTCAGTTTCACCTTTCTGAGGCCCTGTGTCACCTTCAAATCCAAAATCACCTGGTAGTCATTTTCTGTCATATCCTTGTTTGGATCTATCACTGATTGGATATTTCTATCACTGGATTTTTCAATTGGATCTATCACTGATCTACCCCTAGTCACTGATTGGACTGAATCTGTCACTGGTATTGGATGATATTTTTCTCAGTGGTTTTGTGTACCTTATCTCTCTCACTAGAGAGGAATGACAGCAGGAGCCTTATCTTGTTCCTTCTTGTATACACCAGTGCTTGACAGTCAGTAGGTCCCACATATGCATGGAATAGATTATTATTTATGATGTTTGTGAAGAGCAGCTGTGATTTCCCCTCAGGTGAGGAACATTAAAGGGTAGTAGAGGTTTCACAGCAGTGCAGCTTAGGTGTTATCTGAAGAATATGTCTTGGAACAATCAGATGTTCTGAGAACTATAACGTTTACTGTTAAAAGATCATATGTGGTAGCCAGGCATGATGTTGTACATCTGTAGTCCTAGCTACTTGGGAGTCTGAGATGGCAGAATTGCTTGAGCCCAGGAATTCGAGGTCAGCCTGGGCAACATAGCAAGACCTTGTCTCCTAAAAAAAAAAAAAAAAAAAAAAAAAAGGCATATGTGAATCTCAGTAGTAACAGTGACTTAAAAAATTTTTTATGGCTGGGCGTGGTGGCTCACGCTTGTAATTCCAGCACTTTGGGAGGCCAAGGCGGGTGTGTCATGAGGTCAAGAGACCATACTGGCCAACATGGTGAAACCGCATCGCTACTAAACATACAAAAATTAGCTGGCTGTGGTAGTGCATGCCTATAGTCCCAGCTACTTGGGAGGCTGAGGCAGGAGAATCGCTTGAACCCAGGAGGTGAAGGTTGCAGTAAGCCGAGATCGCACCACTGCACTCCAGCCTGGCAACAGTGAGACTTCATCTCAAAATAAATAAATAAATAAATAAATAAATAATTTTATTATTTTTTTTAATGAGAGACAGGGTCTTACTCTGTTGCCCAGGTTGGAGTGCATTTGTACGATTATAGCTTACTGTAACCTCAAATCCCTGGGCTCAAGTGAGCCTTCTGTCTCAACCTCCAGAGTAGTTAGGACTACAGATGCGTGCCACCATGCCAGGCTAACTTTTCGTAGAGGTGCGGTCTCACTGTGTTACCCAGGCTGGCCTGAAAATCCTGAGCTCAAGTGATTCTCCTGCCTCATCATCCCAAAGTGCTGGGATTACAGGTGTGAACCACTATGCCCAGCGAAATGGGTGACTTTCATAGGTGAAAACTGGCAGTCAGTGTTTTAGACTAAGTGATCACCTGCAAGATGGTTATTGCTCATAAGAGGGGAATTATGGCCGGGTGCGGTGGCTCAAGCCTGTAATCCCAGCACTTTGGGAGGCTGAGGCGGGTGGATCACGAGGTCAAGAGATCGAGACCATCCTGGTCAACATGGTGAAACCCCGTCTCTACTAAAAATACAAAAAATTAGCTGGGCATGGTGATGCGTGCCTGTAATCCCAGCTACTAAGGAGGCTGAGGCAGGAGAATTGCCTGAACCCAGGGGGCGGAGGTTGCGGTGAGCCGAGATCGTGCCATTGCACTCCAGCCTGGGTAACATGAGTGAAACTCCGTCTAAAAAAAAAAAAAAAAAA